GTCGATTCACATAGAGATCGTTAGTTCGTTCAGAAGACTCGCGCGTCCGCCGGTGCCTGTGTGTGTGTATGTGTGTGTGTGAGAGAGAGAGAGAGAGAGAGAGAGAGAGAGAGAGAGAGAGAGAGAGAGAGAGAGAGAGAGAGAGAGAGAGAGGAGAGAGAGAGAGAGAGAGAGAGAGAGGAGGAGAGAGAGAGAGAGAGAGAGAGAGAGAGAGAGAGAGAGAGAGAGAGAGAGAGAGAGAGAGAGAGAGAGAGAGAGAGAGAGAGAGAGAGCGAGCGAGCGAGCGAGCTGGTCGCTCTTATCCGAGGACTGTAGCAAACTACACATTCCTGTGGCGGGAAAGCAGGAGTTCTCATCCATGCTGCTGTTCCCGTGAACGCGCTCGAGGAATGCCGGAGGAACGCGCGGAGTCTCGCTGGTGAGTGGGTCTATGGAGAACACACTTCTGCTCATTTCGCAACTCGTGTTTTGCAATGAAATGGCTGATCAGATGACAAATGACTTGCAATTATATCGTTTTCATTTTCACGTCCATAATAATTAAAAATGTTATGATAAACTGAAACTGCGTACATTCGACAGTTCCTTCGTTGTTCTAATTTTGGAGTCACCCAAATTGCAATATTATTAGATTAGATTAAATCATGATTAAATAGATTTAAAAAAAACGTGTTTTTGATTTACAATCTACCATTTCATAAAACTAACTCATATTTAAAACAACAATATTGAAGACAAATGCGAAATGCGGTAACTTGTTGCTATACTCAATATGCGATTGAAAATTGTTTTATTGTCTCTTCGGTAACATACCAACACAACATCCTTAAGCGGCTCTGTGAAAGTGTGCAGGTTCAAACCCCGCAGAGGAGAGTAGAAATAAAGCACTTTTTGTGTCTGTGGAAGATTAATCAGATTAATATCCCAGCAAGCCATTGTGCGTTTAAAAGACGTCAAATAGCCGTCCTAAACACAGCCCAGACGTCTAGACTACAGGGCAACACTTGTGCTGTCAGTGAAAATTTAATAGACGTCTAAACCAAAGCTCAAGAATAGACTAGTCATCAATTAAGAAATGAAATGAGTGAAGAAATTAAATCACTGCTGACTTTGCCTACATGATGGAATATCACAAGTTTATTTGGCAAAAACGACATGTAACCAAATTCAAGGTTAGAAGTGTGTTGGTTGTATAGTCCACCTGTACGGAGAAATGACGGCTATTGCTGACTGATTTCGCTGTATCGTGCTGCTCTTCTCTCTGTAGATCACACGGTGTGCTGATCCTCGGCAACATGACAGCGGAGTTTAGTAACTTGACGTCGCTCTTGACCAACGTGACCGAGTTGACAAACCAGACGGCAAGATGCCCGCTGACCAAGACTGGGTTTCAGTTCTACTACCTTCCCATCGTCTACATCCTGGTGTTCCTCACGGGGTTCGTCGGGAACAGCGTGGCCATCTGGATGTTCGTGTGCCACATGAGGCCGTGGAGCAGCATCTCCGTCTACATGTTCAATCTGGCACTGGCGGATTTCTGTTACGTGCTCTCGCTCCCGTTCCTCATCTTCTACTACTTTAACAAAACCGACTGGATATTCGGAGACGTGTTGTGCAGACTGCAGAGGTTCATATTCCACGTCAATCTCTACGGGAGCATCTTGTTCCTGACGTGCATCAGCGTTCACAGATACTCCGGCGTCGTCCATCCCTTGAAATCTCTCGGACGACTGAAGAAGAAGAACGCCGTTCGCACCGTGGCGCTCGTGTGGGTCGTGGTCGTGCTGGGAATCGCCCCTATTCTCTATTACTCGCGCATCGGGCCGAAGAAGGGGCTCACGACGTGCTACGACACCACGACCGAGGACGAGCTGCCCGGGTACTTCGTCTATAGCATGTGCTTGACGGTGTTCGGCTTCTGCATCCCCTTCATCATTATCTTCAGCTGTTATGGGGGAATCGTCAAAGCCCTGATTTGCAACGACATGGACAACGCACCGCTAAGGAGGAAGTCCATTTACCTAGTCATCATCGTTCTGACGGTCTTCGCCGTGTCTTACCTGCCCTTCCACGTCATGAAGAACCTGAACATGCGAGCGAGACTGTACTTCCAGAGCCCGGACATGTGTGGCTTCAACGACCGAGTGTACGCCACCTACCAGGTGACCCGCGGCCTGGCCAGTCTGAACAGTTGCGTGGACCCGGTCCTGTACCTCCTAGCCGGAGACACCTTCAGACGACGGCTCTCCAGAGCCACCAAAAAATCCTCCAAGAAAGGAGATCTCCAGTCCAAGAGCGAGGAGACGGCGCTCAACAGCCTCTCGGAGAAACGGGAGTCGTGATCCGCAACTCCTTCCCTCGGACTCGGGGGATTAGACTATTGGAAATCATCGTATACTGTGGTCAGTGTTACTCGTGTATTGCTTTTAACATGTCTAATGTGATTTTCCATGGAACTGAAACTGTATGAGCAAATCACTAACAATGTTTTAACAGTAACGACTAGTGTGGGAAATATAACAAGCACTGGCGTTTTAGTTGAGGATGCTTGAACACTCTTAAAAATAAAGGTTGTCAATGGGGGGGAAACATGTTTAAAATGGTTCCTCTATGGCATTGCCGTATAAAACCTGTAGGGCTCTATCACACACTCGCGGCAATGCAGCGCCAGGCGCGACGCAAGTGAGTTCTGCTAGTTTTCATTTTCCCGTCCTGCGCCGCCAGACTGAGCTCATGAAATTGCGTGTGTATGACACTCCAATTCCAACATGACATCATGACTTTTGTGTAAACATACACGGCACTTTCGAGTCAAGTGGCGTCTTATCTCTACGCATTTTGAGCTATCCGCGTGTATCCGTGTATGTCTACGCCATTAACGTCCGAGTGATTCCGCGTGTCTGTACACGCCGTCAAATGTCCGCGCGAAACGAAGCAAAATGTAGATCTACATCCGGGGAGCGATCTTTTTTTTCCCTAGGATGGTAGGGGAACACTCGTAAATGCTATTAACCCCAGCGACGGGTAGATTATGCGCGTTGATAGCACGCCAAAAATGGAAATACGAAATCTTGGCAGCGTCACTCCCGGATAAACGAAAATGTGCAGCTGAGGTGACGTGACGCTAACAATGCTAGCAGACAAACGGCAACTGCTGTAATCCACCTGTCACTCAAGTGGCCACGCCCTTAATTATGCAGAACTTTAGAGCTTAATATAATGTAAATGGTTGAGTTGTAAAAATATTCACCCCCCTCACAGTCGTCATGAAGGGAAACATTAGCGATATACAAATCAAAACCACTTTTGCATCAGACTGTAAACATGTTTATCTGCTGTAAAGTTGGGCATTTTAACATGCGGGTCTATGGGAGTGAGTCTCTTCTGCAGCGCCTCTAGTGGCCAGTGGAGGAACTGCAGTCTAGCGCACTCAGAGTTGATTCGAAAACCCCCTTTGAAACCTTTATTTTTCTGAGTGAACAGCAGCACATATGAGTCCTTGTGTTCTGTTATGTTCTCAGCGAATAGTGAAGATGCACTAAAGATATTTTAAAATGGTGAATTGTCTGCCTGTGACTGTAGTTTGGTTGAAGCATCCCAGATGGTCTCAGATGTGTTTGTGTGTTGATGTGTATTCATTCTACTGTTACTGTAAAGATGTGTGACCGCGTAGATCTAAAGAATATCAGCCCATGAACTATGACTCTTGTAACCAAGTTTCAAATACTGTATGTTCATAATGCATTTATCTTTAATGATCATCTGTAGTATTTAAAGCTAAAACAAATACAGAGACGTAAATGAAAAGTCTGTGATTGGCTCTTTATTATCAGGTCATAATCGGCTGTGGAAGAAAAGCCTCTAACAACTGCATTATTTTGTGTATTTTGTGTAATTATCTTTTTACTGAAATGTTTAGCTTAAAAATGTAATTTTTTCTAAAAACACTGAAATATGAATATAACTCCAGTGTAAATCATCTGTTTTCTATGTGAATATAGAGTAAAGTGTAATTTATTCCTGAATGTTTATTATCATTACTCCAGTCTTCAGTGTCACATGATCCTTCAGAAATCACTCTAATATGAGGATCAAGACACATTTATGATTATTATCAGTGTTGAACACGGCGTTGAAACCATCATACATTTTATTTTTCAGGATTCTTTGATAAACAGTATTTGTTTGAAATAGAATATCTTTGTAACTCCAGTCTTGAGTGTCAGATGTTCTGGTTCTCCAGTTCGTCACGCCGGCGGGTCGACAGGTATCGTGCGATCACAGTTCCTGCTCTTTTCCCAAAGCGGTCCGACTCTTTGTCCCTCGCAGGAAAGAACAGGACGGGAAGGGGAATGAGGGAGGAATAAATAACGCCGCATTTTCTTTTCCTCGCAGACTTCTCCTAGCCACTCTTTGTGCGGGAACAAAAGCCGAATGGTGACGGATGCTGGCAAGTGGCCCGGGGTCTGCCATCCAACACACAGCAGTGTGTAGAGCTGAGGCGGACTCTGATTGGACGAGCCGTGTTCAAATGTATATATGTCTTCCTGTTAAACTGGGGGGGTTTCCATGAGTTATGGAACAATTTCCTATTGTGTGTGTGTGTGTGTGTTGAAGACTGCAAATGTAGCAAATATGTTTCGGTAAGGTTTTATCCCGACACAAGGTAACAAAAAAGTTGTGCTATTAAGTTCTAAAAGTGTTATTTGTTGTTTGAATGGAAAGTTACATGTCATCATTCAAACATTAGAGGAATGTTACATTTGAATGTTCTCTGAAACAAGTTGCAACATGTAAACAATGTTTCAGATATAAATGATCCAGGAACGGTGTAGCTATAAATAATTCTTTGAGAACATGATTACAGTTTTTTTATAATCACTTTGTTACTATTTTCAGAACCTTGATGTCATTTTTCACAACTAAACTCACAACCAATGATTTTTCAAAACTTTAACACATTTCTCAATTGCTAGGATGCAATACACATAAAGCTTAAATCATTTGTTCATTCAACAAAAATCCCCTGTTCAACATCACAGTACGACTATTTCAAAAGCCAATACACACATTACACTTCACATGAGTGTGTATTCATGATGTCCGTACAGTGATCAGCTGACACAAACATGATCAGGAACTGTTGTGTTACTCTTACTGGAAACAGACACACAGTCTTCCATGTTTACAGTAGATCATGAACGTTTCAAGATTACGAGATTCATTCTCACCGATTATTGTGGAGCGTGAACCAATTACACGTCAGTATCCTCTAGACTAATATTATATATTTGCTCTGATTCCACTAAACCTGTGTTGTGGTTGTAGTGTAGTGTTTTGCATCAGTATATCACACACTTTGTTCAATGATTCCTCTATGTGTGTATTCTCTCTGCGACTGCAGTGTTTTACAGAGATGTGTGTGTGTGTACTGTACATGTAGACCATAATGAACCCTGGATCTCCTATTGTGTTCTACAATATTTAATGATTGTACAAACAATGACTCAGTGAAACTATCGGTTGCTTGTGTGTGTGTGTGTGTGTGTGTGTGTGTGTGTGTGTGTGTGTGTGTCTATAGATATGTTTCAATGGTATTTCACAGTAAATGTGTTTTTTGAACCAATGAAAGATGTGAACGCACAGTGCAGTGTCCTGAACATTAGTCCGCCTGTGTTACAGCGATGACCGTGAGTTTTGAAACCAGTTTTTTTGTCCATAGATCGAGTGGTCGAGTGGTGTACGCCAGCCGCTGCAGTGAGCCGGTGTTGTTCGTGTTCTTCGTGAAGGTGTGTGAGTGTGTGTGGATTAATATGCCGGAGAGCAAGCGTGCTTCTGCATGCCCATGTGAGTGTGTGTGTTTGACAGTGTGTGTGTGTGTGATAAACAAAGATGCATGTGTGTGTGTGTGTGTGTTTGCAGGAAGGAAGACAGTGCCACACAGGCCTGCCGAGGCACGAAACCAGTCCCTCCATTCAGACCTGAGACGGGTGGAGAGAGAGAGAGAGAACAAGGCTTTGCATTTGTGTGAGTGGGACGAGCGATGACTGGTGGCAGAACACACACACACACACTCGAGCCTGTTTCGGCCACTGCTGCTGTTGTTGTACAAGCAAACGTCTGGAAGTGAAACGTCTTAATCTCGGGGATTAAACGAGTGTACAAGAATCAGCTGAACATGAAACATCATTTTAATTTTAATTGTATAATTGGTAACACTTTAGAATACGGTTCTTTCATTAATGAATAACTACACAAGAACTAATGAGTAACACATTATTAACAATCTAGTAACTATTATTAACTAACAAGAAACTCTGATTAACGAACTAGCGCACAGATGAAAGTGGTAGTTCACTAATAAGTAATCAATAACTACTATTTTTTTAATACCTCCAGAGAACTACTGAAAAAGTTTATTAATAATCTAGTAACTACTATTAACTAAAAGAAACTCTTATTAACGAATTAGTAAGTAATAGCTCACAGATGAAAGTGTTACTAGATACTTCTGTGGGAATTACTAATTATTTGGATCCGTATTATAAAGTGAAGATCATTGGAACTAACTAGTAATTACTCAAGTGTTACTACATGATCTAGTCATGATTTGTGCAACCGTTTGAGATTTTTTGGTGAACTTTAGTAACTTTTAGAAAATGTCTTTAGTAACACTTGAGTAATTACTGGTTAGTTCCAATGATCTTCACTTTATAATACGGATCCAAATATTTAGTAATTCCCACAGAAGTATCTAGTAACACTTTCATCTGTGAGCTATTACTTACTAATTCGTTAATAAGAGTTTCTTTTAGTTAATAGTAATTACTAGATTATTAATAAACTTTTTCAGTAGTTCTCTGGGAAGTATTAAAAAAATAGTAGTTATTGATTACTTATTAGTGAACTACCACTTTCGTCTGTGCGCTAGTTCGTTAATCAGAGTTTCTTGTTAGTTAATAATAGTTACTAGATTGTTAATATTGTGTTACTCATTAGTTCTTGTGTAGTTATTCATTAACGAAGGAAACGTATTCTAAAGTGTTACCGTATATTTACATTATTTCAGTGCTGGGTAACGATTAATCTCATCCAAAATAAAAGTTAGTGTTTACTGTCACAGTTGTGTTCATGTCACGTGTGTTTATTAGTTCATCTCTAACTCCTGTCTTCATCCGTCTCTGTGTTTAGTTCCTTTAGTTCAGTCAGTTCTTGTTGGTTGTTAATTGTGTTTAGAGTGTGTGTGTGTGTGTGCGTGTGTGTGTGTGTGTGTGTGTGTGTGTGTGTGTGTGTTATCCTGTGAGTAAGAGTTAAGTAAATCGTTTGTATTGGAGCCTTTGGACTTTGAGTCTTCAACCAACACCCTGTGACATTTAGTACATGTGTGTGTGTAGTGTATAATTTTGTATATAAAAATACACACACATGCATGTATATACTGTATATATATATATATATATATATATATATATATATATATTGATAATTGATATTAGAAAAAAAATATTATATATATATATATATATATAATATTTTTTTTCTTAAATATATACATGCATGTATTTATATATACAAAATAATTATATACAGTACACACACATATATCATGTAAATAAAACATAATTGATTGCTTCCCTGCACTGAAAAATGTTTATAATATAACACATACCTTTTTATTGTGCTGCTTTAAAAAGCGTTTGCAAATCATGAAATCAAGATTACTGGTAACACTTGACTTAAAGCCTTTATTATAAAGCATTATTCCTTGTACCTGAAATTGCTTGTTTGTCTTTCTGAAGGTGTAAATATTATAATGTATTATAAGTGTGATTACAGTTATTCATGAGATCATACAAATCATTATAAGGTGCATTATGAGGTATAATTCATGCATTAAAAATACTTTTATAATGTATTATTATTGTATGAGGCTTTAGTAAAGCGTTATCAGATCATGTTATTCCACTAGTTTAGAGCAATAATCAAAGCATGCTAATTAACATATTAGTGGGAAAAAATGTGTTGTGAGATCATGCAAAGTAAATATTTTCCAAATAAATGCTTGAATTCATGAACATAAACAGTTGTTTAACACTGAAACATGCTTTTATAATCTAACTCTTTCCCGCTCCATATAAATGGGTCTTTAGTACAACATTAAATATACAGATGCTGTAATATTTTCATTTATTGTGTTTGATGCTTTATGCTTTTAATGCTCTGTTTTCATCATCATGTCCAATAAGAAGATGTGATTCTGCTGACACCGGACGATGGATAAAGCTGAGATTAATCAATGGCCATTCAGAGAACAAAACTGGCATGAAATTCCCTAAAATCGTCTCTCAGAATCATTACCCTGTCAGACCAAATGCATATCTGTGGTGTTTTCTTCACCGTTTCTTCAGTTTTCTCCAGATCAGGAGTTTCTGAGAGAGTATTTCCAGAAGAGAGACCAAATTGCCTGAAGATATATCATTATATCATACATTTTAACACACATATATGAATATGTAAACTATTTCCCCTACAATAAAACACACATATATTTGTCATGTTGTGGTTTGTTCATGTCATGTGATTGCCTGTCTGTCATGTGATCCTGCCACATTCTAAAATAAAAAATGCTGGGTTGTTTTAACCCAATTTTGGGTCAAATATGGACAAACCCAGTAATTGGGTTACATTTTAAAATTACATTTTTTTTGTTTGTCCATATTTGACCCAAAATTGGGTTAACAACCCAGCATTTTTAGAGCGTGTGTCCTGTCATTGGTTAATCGCCTGTTGTCCCTCCTCTTGTGTTTATTCTGTGTGTTTTAGCCTGTGTCTTTGGTGATTTTTGTTCCACTGTACGCAAAGCTTTATGTCCACGTTTATGGTTTGCTTTAAGTTCACTTTTGCTTTAGTTTGTAATAAACGGCACTCGGGTTCTCTCTACAACTTGTCTTCAGTGGATCCCGGTGCTATCCAGCACACACACACACTCCTGACACCAGGATCCCGGTGTTATCGAGCACACACACACACCGAGTGATGGATGATGATGATGATGATGAGGCCGGGTCTGTGAAACTGCTGTCAGGGAGAAATGAGTTAATTGCGCGGTGATGAAATGCATTCCCCGATATATAAAATGCCCAAGCACATCCTTAATTAACACAAAGTGTGTTTTTGGCAAGAAATAGTGCAGCGAGACAGAATCCTGGCCAAGATCAATTCAGCGGCTCTCGTACAGTGACACAACGGGAACAAAAGAGCTACACACACTCCTCATCCCCAAACCCAGTGTGTGCTATATACCTGCTCTCTATATATACTGTACCCTACATAGTGAACGTGATTTCACCAAGACTGCCACATGTTCCTGGATCAACATCTTTGTTGATCCTGGATCAACTTTCCAATCAACCAATCCGATTTGAGGGACAAATTTACAGTTTATGTCAAGGTTAGGCTTAGAACCAGGGTGAAGTACTTAAACATCAGTGCTATTCACCTTTCATAACCCTCTGATTTTAGGGAAAAGTTATGGGTAGGGTTAGGTTTAGGGGTAGGGATTGGGTAAGAACTACATTTTGGGACAGGAATGTTGATCCAGGACCATGTCTTACATGGCAAAATCACGGTGACCACTGTACACAGTGTGTGTTTATGATCTCAGAGAGCGTTTCTGAGCTTGACCTGATGATGGCGCTGCAGTTTACTGATGTCTGACCTTTGAAATGTTTTCAACATTTCCTTCTTTAAGAAAACTAAAAGAAAGCTGTAATACACATCATTGCGTGAGTTGCGTGATGTGCTTGAGGAACAGACACATGATCTGAACGAATCCTTGTTGTGTTATTCACAGAAAACAAGTTTACTTTGAGATCTCAACAACCGTGGACGGCCCAACAGAGGCATTTACACACACACACACACACACATACTCTGGAAATGATAGTGTGAACGCCCTGGGGTGCTTTCTCTCTTTCTTAAAAGGCCTCGATGTCCTGGTCCGAACAGACAACATGGCGGGAGTGTATTTCGTGAATGGCCGAGGGTCTCAGATCAGGGTTTATAGACTAAACATCTACACTTGTCTAATCCCTTGTTTGGAAGACATGCAGTGTTTACTGTACTTTGGGCTCTGAAGACTTATTAACACTGCTATCCCTTCATATTCTCAAATATTTAATGCTATTTAAATGATAGTGTCTGTCAGTGTTTATCAATTTAAAATTGAACATGTTTCTCCTAAATGAAAAACAACTTCTTAGACTAGTCTTAAAAGTCCGTTGACATCTCAATGTTTTTCCTAAACATATAAATCTGTTTACATTTTCAACATGAGGCTGATTGTGGTTTGGTTAACTGGTTCTTAAAGGAATAGTTCACTTTAAAATGAAGATGCGGTCCGGGTCATCACGAGCTCTGGGAGATGAATGTGGGGGACCAGACACTCTTGGACCCCATTGACTTCCTATATGCTCCTGTTCTCATCTCTCTCCCACTGTTTCCCGTCTCTCCTCCTACTGTCCTGTGGAAAACCCAATCTCATGGAAATAAAGCAACCTCTGAAAATATTATTATAACGCAGTCTTGAAAGAGATTAGCTACAGCGGGACGATAAAGAGATCTCCCGTCGTCTCGCTGAAGGAACGGGATGAGCACATTTCCCTGCCACTACTTAAACACTTAGCCTCCTTTTCCGCTTTCTGTTTTGTTTAGTTTCTATCAAAACTTCCTGCTCTTCTGGCCGGCCGGATGCTGTGTTTTGTGGAGAGAGATAATGGAGACATCAAATTAAATTAGAGAAACAGCTACTTTAGATAATGCGAGTTAAATAACTATGATTGTTTGGCAAAACATTATATGTTTTGTAACAAATTCTGATGAGTGTCAGTTGACATGTTGTTGAAAAGTCGTAGAATGTCTAAAGTGGATTATCAAAATAAAGTATAACCGATAGTTTAAAAAAAGGAGAAATTAAATATGTATAATAAATATAATATGATATAGTGTAATAATAAAACTTAATATGAGAATTAGTCAAACGCTCTTGGATCATGTGTGTATCAGCTGGTCTGCTGTAGATTCAGAACTTGATGATTTTAATGCACGGTAATAAATTGATCTTCATTCAAAGGAAAAGCAATAATGGACGTTTAATTATCAGTGGCGCTTGATTTCGACGCTGAATATCAGAGGCAAACGCAAACGCCGGTCTCAGAGTAAGCGGATCCGGCTGGACTGAA